ACCAGTGTCTAAACACCAAACAGATGAATGGAAATACCTCCAGTGGGAGCAGGCAGGTGTGGGCATTGGAGGCCAGCAGGGTGAGCAGCTCACACCCCCGTAAACAGCTGGCAGCTCAGCCCAGCTGCTCATGAACAGAGAAGTGGAAGCTGCTCACCCGCGTGCAATTACGTGTGAAGTACGGCAAATCTAAAAATAGCCTGAGCACAGCCATGGAGGGTAACACTGTCAATGGCTTTCAACTCAACTATCAGAATGACAGGAAGGGGAGTAACTATAGCAACAGAAAAATGAACACGTAAAAAAAGTCTTCTGAAGTTGACAGGAAAAGTTTAGATTTAATAAAACACGTATTCTCAATTCCTCTCTCTAAATCTTTGAATTCAAATAGTTCAATTATGTGAAGGCAATAAAATTAGCATTTTGGTAAAGTGTTGATAAAACAAAATCTTTCAATTTTGGGTTCCAGAACCATAAGGAAATACTGCTAACCTGTCAATTTTATTACCTTTATAATTAAATGACCATTTGAACAAATGCTTTTATATAATTTCTAACTGAGAGGCTTTTCTCTATATTTGTTCTATCAGTTATAAAAATAGGCTTGAACCGTACTTGACATTTTAAGATATTACTGCATGTCTGATGAATACATAGGGTGACATGGAATTCTCTTGAAATGAAAGGAACTTAGTGAAAATAGTTAACATTAGAAAGGGATACAGAGAAATAACTCCTAGAATAAGTTTCTGAGGCAGTTCTCACAGCCAGCTCGGTAGCCTGTGGCCCCGGGCATCACGGAGGCTTGGAGTGCTCATGACAAGGAGTGGAGAGCACCATTCAGTTCTGATCAAGCTGTTCTTGCTCAAAGAGCTCACACACCTAACCTGAGGACCAGCAGATCCCCAATTCCAGCGTCTTTCTGCATTATTTGATAAAGGAATATTCAGTTAGGTGCTGGTTAATGTGGTACTGGTCCCAGTCCTTCCACTAACTAGTTGTGGGGCCCCAGACAAGTTACTACTCAGCTCTCTGGTCATGGGCTGGATGAGTCTCTCAGGCTCGTCCCTGAGAAGGAACAGTTAAGAGTTAAGGAGAAAGAGAGGATTTGTGTTGAATACACATTTGGGCTACACCCTATGCTGGGCTTTAAAAATATATTATTTTGGCCACAAACTGGCAAGATAGATATTTGTATCTCCACTTTATATATGAAGACACAATCATAAGCAGGCTGAGCTAAGAAGTGACGGAGCCTGGTTTCCACCCTGTGTCTGTTTGATGCTCCATGAGGCCGTCTCTCCTTCTCAGATACCCCTCCAGCCGCTCTTACAGCTGACTCCCGCCTGCAGTGTAAAGACTGACCCCCAGGTGCCCGTCACATACACTTAAGCCATCTACAGATTCTCAGTGAGGGTCTTGCATTTTCCAAGCGTAGAAGATTAGGTCCCTTGGAAAGTCCCTCTACAATCTTCTTTCACTCAGGCAACCACTGTCAACAGTGATTTTCATATCAAACATATACTATTCTGCCACCTGCTTTTTTCACTTAATAGATCATGAATATCTCCTTATGTTAATAAAGAAGTATTTTAATCTTTATAAAGATTGCATTACTACATTATAATCAATCACTTACTAATGGCTATTTCAGTTGTTCCATTTTTTAAAAATTAAGGTATAATTGACATATAACATTAGTTTCAGGTGTACCATATAATGATTCGATAGATATTTGTATACATGGTGGAATGATCACCACAGTAAGTCTAGTTAACATCCATCACCTTACAGTTACAAAAAAATTTTTTTTTCTTGTGATGAGAACTCTTAAGATCTACTCTCTTAGCAACTTTCAAATATGCAATATGGTATTATTAACTATAGTCACCATGCTGTACATCACATCCCCAGGATTATTTATTTTGTAACTGGACTTTTGTACCTTTGACCCCCTTCGCCTATTTCTCCCACTTCCTATCCCTTGCCTCTGGCAACCACCCATCTGTTCTCTGTATCTATGAGCTTGTTTTTTTGTTTTTAGATTCCACATGTAAGTGAGATCATATGTTGTCTTTCTCTGACTTACTTCACTTAGCATAATGCCCTCGAGATCCATCCAAGTCGTTGCAAATGGCAAGATTTCATTCTTTTTTTATGGCTGAATTATATTCCATTGTGTATGTACACACACACACACACACACACACCACATTTTCTTTAACAATTCATCCATCGATGGACACAGGTTGTTTCCATATCTTGGCTATTGTCAACAATGCTGCAGTGAACATGGGGGTGCATGTATCTTTTTCAGTTAGCATTTTCGTTTTCTTCAGGTAAATACCCAGAAATGGAATTGCTGGATCATATGGTAGTTCTGTTTTTAATTTTTTGGGGAACCTCCATACTGTTTTCCATAGTGGCTGAACCAATTTACATTCCCACCAACAGTGCACAAGGGTTCCCTTTTCTCTACATCCTTGCCAACAATTGTTATTTCTTGTCTTTTTGATAACAGCCATTCTAAGAGGTGTGAGGTGATATCTCACTGTGGTTTTCACTTGTGTTTATCTGATGATTAGTGATGTCAAGCAACTTTCCATGTATGTCTTGGCCATTTATATGTCTTCTTTGGAAAAATGTCTATTCAGATCTTCTGCACATTTTATAATTGGATTTTTTTTTTTGGCTATTAAGTTGTATGAGTTTTTTTTAATATAGTTTGGATATTAACCCCTTATCAGATACATGATTTGCAAATATTTTCTCCCGTAGTTCTTCCAATTTTGTACTACTTTAATAATCAGGAAAAATAGAAAACATCATATGGAAAAAATAGTAGGGTAGAAGTCATTTTTAAAGGAAGTATAAGAAGTCAAAAAGTGAATCAAGAGCTTCATCTTAAATTAATTTTTGTGTTTTCCTCAAATCTTTGCTTAGAGTCAAAATTGCCTATAGCATAGGAACACCTTTTACTAAACCAATGTTATAAGATGCAGATGAAATAAAATGCATCTGTGGGCCCCGGGCCAGGAATTCTTTGTAGCATCCCTCAACCCTACTTTAAACATGCAGTCACGCTGTTTATATGGTGAAAGATGTCGACAGCCCTGTGAAAGGATTCTGGCTGAAAGTGAAACGTACACGCAAAAACAAATCTAGTTCTGTGGTTAGTTGAAAATTCACAGCTGGTAGGGGCTGTTATTTAATTCAAGTGTTTCCCCCTCCCATGCAAAGAGAAAATGCTCTTTTAGTGCTGACTGAAAGACCAAAGTCAGAGCAAAAGCTGTTTGAAAATGATGAGGCTTAAGTAAAGCTGCTTTAAAAGCTGCTATGTGGACCAAACAACTTGGAAATTTCCTAAAAGGATTTTCTAGAGTTCTAGTAAATCTTTCTCTCAGTCACTCCTTTGTTCTCCTGCTTTGGTCAAAACCAAAATCAAGTAATGCAAAAGTCACCCACATAGACAAAGAAGCAAAAAAATACACATGGCGTGTGTACACATACACATACATGTACACACACTGCTTAAAATTAAAATGATAATTAATTAAAATTAGTTATTTATATATAAACTCTCTCTTCACTACTTCTTTTTTATGCATTCTAAAGTGTGATGCTACAAGATGAGGTTCATATAAACTTAGTTCTATAAGAATTTTTTTAAATGATCATGAAGCATATAAATAGAGTTTTGAAGGTGGTTGAGTCAGACGTGACAGGTAATGTTTTTTGCTGTGATAAGGATACTACCATTTGGAGCATCTAGCAGGGTTTCTCTTGCTGTTTCCTCTTCTTGAGTCCTTTCTTTGAAAGAGTGTCAAGAGAGTAGAAATAAGGCTGAGGACAGAACAGGGCCCAGCCAGCTGCCTAATAAGACACTAGTAGGCAGCCAGCCACTTAGGTCAGCAGCTCTCCAAATCCATAAGAGAACATTTATTACTTGCTAGAGGCCAGGATGGTTTAGGCTATACCCAAATGACAGCCATTTTGGCCACATGCAATGGACTCATGACCTAACAGGCTTAGAGACAGAAGGAGTCTGAGGTAGAGAGTCCACCTTCAGCGACGGCCCCAGAGATGGGCCACTCTCAGAACCCCTGCTAGTGGGAAGGGGCTTTGGTGGATTCTCTTTGGTTCCTATTCACAGGTGGGATGCATCCTGATTTCTTACAATGCTTTGTATTGCCATTTCTCCACACTCACAGAGCAGCATATTGCCCAATTCCACTATTTTCCTATTTGTTCCCAAACTACGGATGCTGAGACACTGGAGAGTGGAGAAAGACAGGATGTCCACAAGTGGGCTGAAAAATAGTAACAATATGCATTATAAAAGCTTTTGCAAGCAGCATGGAGTTACTGAAGCAATACACATGTGATCCAGCAGAGACTATTTCTCATACAAAATACAGAACTTCCACAACTGTAGAGACAGTAGTGCCTGAAGACTTTCTAATGTGACATATGTATGACTCACATGTAAACTAAACTTCAAACTAGGACATTTCTTAGAATATAACCATAGTCAGAAGTAAGAGAAGGTCATGTGATCCTGATATGCATTTCAGGCAGGTAGCTAAAAACACACATTTAAAATAATAAAGAAAGCATTGTTAAAATAATAATCACATTTGTGATTATAGACGGGTTGACACAACAGTAGAGCTAACTATTGATCTTGAAAGCTCAACATTTTATTTTAGTTTGAAGTAGATATTTACAAAGGGCAGTGTAGCAATGAAAAGTTGAAATCTAAAGCCAGAATGCTCCATTTTGAATTTCTACTCCCCTTACTAGTGATATAATCTTGGGAAATTTTATTAATCTCTCCATGCTTCGGTTTCCTCACCTGTACGATGTGGACAGTTAGAGTATTTCTACCACAGCGCTGCTGTGAGGATGACATGAGTAACTCATGTAAAGACTCAACACAGGGCCTAGTGCTATTGCTGTTAGGACTATCACTGTTCCCAGGGCCAAAGCAGTTCACTCACCAAGATGAGTGTCCATCACCTTCGCACAGTATTTGCACATGGCATCCAGGTCATTCAACTGTCCTTGAAGGAAGGAAATTTGGGCTTCTAATTCTTCTTCCTAAAATGAAGGGGGTAAAAATAATGAAAATAAAAAAAAATTCAAATAAAATCCCCAAAGTTCTCCAAATGATCTGGACTATTTTAAAAAGGCACAATGTCTTTTCAGTCCTAGACAAAACAAAAGAAAATAGCAAATAAACAAGAGCAAACCCCCCATTGCCACCACCAACAAAATAGAGAAAGGGTAAAATGGAGTTTTAAAAAAATCTGGACTTTTCCTAACTGAATGCTAGCTTTGTGCCATGTGTAAATGCTTACCCACACAAACTTGTATAAAAAAAAGTTCATAAAATATCTTTAATAACTATTGAGCCACACAAATTGGTAGAGTAAATTGGATTTCGGCAAACCACGCTCCCTAGGCAGCTGTTAGAAAAACATTACGTTTTCTCTCACACACATTTGGGAAACCAAAGATTTCCATTTGTAGAAGACAAATCTCATCATTTTCTAGACAATGATAATCTCTTAAAATGTGATATTTCCCAAAGTACTTGGAACAGTTTTGCCCCCACAGCCCATAAATAGCTGCTCTCACATTTCCTCTCTGGATATGAAACTAGACCGTTTTATTTATTTGATTGTTTCTAGGAAAAACACTCTGAGTTAAGTAATTATCTAAACGGTAAAAGACAATCTAACTGCAACAAAGGAATAAAGTCTGGTTTTTTAAAAGGAAAAAATAATACACACAAAAAATTTCCCAAGGAAATTTAGAAGATTATGGAAGTTTTTCTCAGAGAAAGAGAATAATCCTCATTATGTAGGATATTTTAAATCAAGTTAGCTAGAATACAAAAAAAGGATGTTGCCAGAGCTGAAATAGGCTAGAAAATTGATTTTCTAGTGTTAGATGCTTGTCCTTTCACATAAGAATCCTCTGTGTCATTGAAGAAGGGAAGAGAGACTTACTGAGATATGCTTTTTCTTAAAGACTGAGTATAATTTGACTTATAGATGGAAATTAACAGTTGAAAAGGTTACTTGTAGGTGTATTCCATTTTAGCAACACACATATGCAGCACTGGAAAGTATTGCTAACTGCTGCCTGGAGAATGAGCCCTTAAGAATATATTAAAATGCTTGACACAGGGGGCTGGCCTCGTGGCTTAGCGGTTGGTGCACGCGCTCCGCTGCTGGCGGCCCGTGTTCGGGTCCCGGGCGCGCACCAACGCACTGCTTGTCAGGCCATGCTGTGGCGGCGTCCCACATACAGCAACTAGAAGGATGTGCAACTATGACATACAACTATCTACTGGGGCTTTGGGGAGAAAAAGGGAAAAAAAGGAGGTAGATTGGCAATAGATGTTAGCTCAGGGCTGGTCTTCCTCAGCAAATAGAGGAGGACTGGCATGGATGTTAGCTCAGGGCTGATCTTTCTCACAAAAAAAATAAAAATAAAAATAAATAAATAAATAAATAAATGCTTGACACAAAACAGACATAGCAGTAGCTCTAAAAAATTACTGTGAAATGCTCGCTGTAGGATTACAGTAGCACTAACCATTCTCCTTACATATACCACAAAGTGCAGCAGCCTCCCCTCTGATACTCAAATAAGGACAAATGCCCCCAGAAGATGCTCAGCCAGGGGATGATTACAGGGGCCTACAGGGAGATGGTGCCACTTTCCTAACTCTTCGGCTGAGCTTTAAGGTGGAAAAGAATAGGCTGTTTTAGGGCATTTTTCTTATCTTTTTTCTCCTTTATTTCCGCACAGGCTTGAGTTACCCTGCCCTATCAGGACACGGTAGGAATTAGAGAAAGAAGGCTACAACTGTTGTTAACTATGGTTGTGGTTAGTCTCCAAAGACAGCTACCATCAATTCCTTCCCTCCTTTATTGTACATGCTGTTCCACTCATCAAGAGGTAGTTTCTCTTTCCCCTCCCCCTGAATCTAGGCTGGCTTTGTGAATCGCCTTGATCCAGAAAATACAGCAGAAGTTAAACTGTTCCAGTTTTGGGCTAGTGTAAGAGGTCTGCAACTTCTGCTTTCACTAGAGGAAGACAGCTACCGTGTTGTAAAGAAGGTCAGGCTAGAATACTGAAAGAGAGGAGAGAAAATATGGAGAGAAAGAGGCCACAGGAGAAGCACTGAGATTCTAGACATGCGAATGAAGTCCTCCTGGACCTTTCAGCCCAACCCAGCTGAAGGCAGCCAAGTGAGTGACCCAGTCAACACCGTGTGGAGCAGAACAAAGCCCAACCAAGCCTTGTCCCAATGCCTGACCCACAAACCTATGAGAATAACAGTGCTGTTGTTTTAAGGAGTGGAATTCTGGAGCAGCTGTTATGCAGCAACAGAAAACTGAAACAGTGGTTGAACAGAAAGAGCACTAGATTGGTATATGTCGTGAGGAAATTTGAGTTCTATTTCTGGTCCTGCCATTAACAAGCCATGTAACCATAAGCAGTCCGCTAACCAGTATGGGCCTAAATTCAGCACTCTCGGCAGAAGGTAAAAGGCAGAGACTTTTCTCCCAAGGAGCTTACAAGTGTGTAGTTGGAATAAAAAACTTATATAAATTACTAGAGTATGAGGTAGAGTACACAGAAGTCTTATAATGAAATAAGAAAAATTGCTCTGGAAATCCTGGTCCCTGCCTCCTGTTCCTTCTACTGAACAAGTCATCTTTGCAATGTGTTACACACACACACCCAACTGGATGAGTCTAGAACTGTACTGAGGCCAGAGCTTGGCAGTCTTTTAAAAGAAGGGGGCCCAGCTGTGGGCTGAGTTTCTCCTTGCATGTGGCTACCAACTGGCCTGCTGAGAGCCCGTAGTAGCAAAGAGCGGCACTAGGAATGCACTGCCTCCTGGTTTAAAGACGTCTTCTCTATTTATTCTCTGTATTAGTTTAATTTGGATTAAGCAATCACTTCCTTTAAAATGCAAAAGCCCTTGGGAGTTTTAATCCCTAGCAGTCATTCCTACCTAAATGGATTTATTTTATTCAGTTTGTTTTCTTTTTAATTGCTGGGAGGGAAGAAGAGCTTGAGAGGAGACACTTCAAGAGGAGACAGGCCAGGCCTGTTGGCTGTGAGGTGTTGAACAGCTGGAGGGAAGTATGTAGCTCAAAGGGGGTCCCTTTCTCAAAACGCTTGACTGTGCTAGCAAGAACAATATTGTAAGAAAAAATGCAATGAGACTGCAGTGCATAATTTGCACAAGTGTGCAGTGCACAATTTGCACAAATGCATGGCAGCCCGAAGCACTTGCTGGGTGAGCATGTGGGGATATAAAAACACAATTTTTCAAGTTTGCAATTTTGCTTTGGGCTCTGGTGGCAAGTGAAGAGCATCTTTCTTGCCTAAATCCCAAGTAAACCTCAATACAAACGAAATCTACACTGTAGAAAATGGCAACTTTCACTCATTTAAACCTTTTTTTCAAAAGAAAGCTCACACAAAAGCCCAATATATGAGATAAGAGGAGCATTCTGGTTGAAACAGGTTGAGGGGCCCAAGAACCTCTTCCATTTGGAAGTTTAAAATCCAGTGTATTATCTCTCTAGAGTTTGCTTAATCTTAAAATATTCCTAAACCCTTCAACTATCACTCAGATTTTATAAATAGAAATGGATCACTTGGAGGCAAAAGGGTGGCTTGTCATTTATTCTTCACTATATTATATAATTACAGATAAAAGAAAGAGCCAAGAATCAAGCTTCTAGAAGTGTGGGAACCGACTTTACATTTCTATCTTAGCTTCTCATGCTCTACACTCCTTCCAACTAACATGCTTTAAACACTGACAGCGGGCTGGCCCCGTGGTTTGGTGGTTAAGTGTGCGCGCTCCGATGCTGGTGGCCCGGGTTCGGATCCCGGGCGCGCACCGAGGCACCACTTCTCCGTCCATCCTGATGCCGAGTCCCACATACAGCAACTAGAGGGATGTGCAGCTATGACATACAACTATCTACTGGGGCTTTGGGGGGAAAAATAAATAAATAAAATAAAAATCTTTAAACACTGACAGCTTTAGTCATTTGTTTTCATTAAATCGGTCCTCTGTCATCAAAAACAAATGCTTGGCTAATTGCCTTGAGGTTTTAGGAAAACAACTTGTTAGTGCAATTTTTACGTATAAATAAGATACTGAAGATAAATGTTTGTTATATTTACTTTTGCATATATGTTCTGCCTTCCGTTACAGGAGGGAGGATGGAATTCTGGAGTAGACACACCTGGGTTCACACCCTCTTTCTGCCAGTTACTAGCTGTATAATCTCGGACAAGTTCCTTCTTTTCTTGGTCCTCTCACCCCCTTGGCAGGATTGGTGAGACAGCGAAGTGAGGACACATGGAGAGTATCTGGCACAGAGCAGGTACTCAATAAAGGCAATTACTCTTTCTTTTAAATAATTTTTTAAAATCAGGTCAATACAGTGAAAAGAACTTTATGTACAGGGTTTTATGATTCACTGTTGGAAAATACTAGTTTCTGGTTTCAAAACCTTTATGTAGCTTAGCTGAGAAAGATTAATTAGGGCTTAAAAACCCATCACTGTCTTAAGTTTTGGATAGCAAATTGATGTGCAAGGCAAGAAACTTATGGAGGATTATGAAGTAGGGCAACATGCAGACTAATGTGTGTAACATATCACCAGCTGTACTTGGCAGTCCCATAGGGAAGACGATGAGGGCCACTCCATCAGAAGAGAAAAACAGCTACCATCTCACCCTTTTATAACGATTACAATATGCCAGGCACTGAGCTTTGCATGCATTAACTCATTTAACTCTCACAACAAACCTATGAGGCAGATTCTCTCATTATTTCCTACATGAAACATGGTCTCCTCCTCTGTAAGCTACATTCTCTGGAAGTGTATGCCAAGGTTTAGAGAGCTATTTGAGAACCCAAGTCACTTGGCCCACTACTCTTGTTTCTTCCTGTGTACACATTCTTTCTTATGCTTAATTACTATTGCCCTTCCAATGAATAACCTCATATCTCGGTTTTCTTTCACCAATTACAATGTTGAGTCCTAATC